ACATATTGTACATTCCTCTAAAACCTTTAACGGATGCTGCTGATGAGGAATGTGCATTCAAGACAACTCTCACAAGCTAACTAAAAAATAGAAAAGATCTGCAAATAAAACATCACACAGGAAATATTATCTTCTTGGAAAACTCTTTATGGCTTGAATTTGCTTTGACTTTAGCAGCACTTGTGGCAACCGTAACTAGATAAATGGGTCTGTAGTTTTCTTTCCCTTCTATATTGATGTACAAGTCTTTGCATTCAGTGATTTTTATTTTAATACACTTAGCTATCACAGTAGGCTCTCTTTGATATCAGGCTGCTTTATCCTGGTTCCACGTGTGATAAAAGCCAGTTCAGAGTCATTGAATTTATACAAAACAATGTGAAATGAAGAGTATTTTGATGATAATACGAGTTTTAAAAGGGAGGGGAAACTCCTTTTATTCATCTGTCCTACTAGGTCTCTTTTTGGCTATAGTTTCACCATAAAAGGATGACGTTATTATTCTCATTCCTTTATAGTCAGCTAATATCGAAAGCAGAGGATATAGTGTATGTCTTGTACGGCAGGCATTTAACTAGACACCCCAAGCTAAGATTTTCAAATCAGGGTCCTGGACGTAGGCTCATAACAGCACATACATACACTAAGTAAACGGCCCTATTTTCAAACATGCTGAGCACCACGCAGCTCCAATGGTTCCCAATAACAGCTGCTGGATGTTGAGAACTTTGGGACAATCCGGCCACCTGCATGTGTGGCAATATATTGCTTTAGGGACCTAGTTTTAGGTCTTCTCTTCTGGAAAACCTTGGTTCGCCATTTGGGAGGCTGAAATGAAGAGATCACTGTGGAAAATTGCAGGCCAATCCCTCTTTTTAAGATGCAAAGTTTTGCCTACTGGCATCCAAAGTTGCCATGACACAATGAGAAATTTGGTCCAGGATTTAGAACTGCCTTGGGAATCTGTGGGCTGCTAAATCATCAGACATGGGCTGCCAGAGCTAGTTGAGAGAGAGCGGTGGAACGTCTGAGAAGGAACTGCTTCTCAGGTCTTCTCTTAAGTCAGGAGGAACAGGTTTTTAATCATGTAAAATATCATTTTTTGGTTACAGACCCATCTGCGAGGCATGTGGGAAAGGTTTGTGGGGTGTTTTTGGTTCTCACCCCGCAACCCATAGCTTCTGTCACTGACAATGTTTCCCAAACCTAGAAGCTTGGTGAAGAATCTCCTTAGATGCGTATGAACATTAGCTGCATCAACCTGGCATCTGAGTCGGGGGGTTGCTCTTTCGTTTACTTATCAGTAAGTTCACTGTGTGGCTGCCTCTCGGGCAGACAAGAAGGACCCATCTATTATTGAATTTTGCTGAGCCACTTTGCAGTCTGATGCACCTGCATTTATTTACTAGTTGCTTCTAACAGGATCTGATTTCAGTGTCTTTGGTTGCCTTCCAAAGGTAAGCCTGTCTCCTATTGATAGCTGGTTGCTGAGAACGACTTTTCCGGTGCAGGGTGGGGTGAGATGTATCAGTGTCAACTCTGTCTTGAATATATAATAGAATTCAAATTAATATAGCCCTCTTTCTTTGCCTACATAATCAGAAGGCAATTGCCCTATTCCCCTCTACATAGGGATCTGGATTCCAGTAATCACCCATTCCAGGGGTTAATTCCTCCTAAAGGATCTAAAGACAATGGGAGACAGGCATATATATCTGAAGGTGTGAGACACTTTGAATAAAGAGCATCAGATAAACTGAGATTGAAATCCACATTCCCCAAAACAGAAGGCTCTGATGCTTAACAAAGTCTTCAAGCAATTTGAGATGAGTTGACTTGCTGGCTGGGGTACCCTGTCACGGCTGGGTGTGGTGTAGCAGGCTCTAGTGCTAACAGCTGCCTCTGACCCTGTAATGGTCCCTGTCTCTGCTTTTGACTCACTCGACTCTCTGGCCAGGTCACTTCTAGTCCCATGCCATCCACCCCCCTTCCAGGGTAACACAACGTCTAACAAACAGAAGGTCAAGGTCCTCACAGCAGGTTTCCGCCCTCTGATTCTGGGCTCTGAGGTCCGTACACCCCCTTGAAAGTCTTAGGAATTTCAAAAGTCTATATCTCCTTCGATCAGGGGGCCTCATGCCTCCTTCCTGTGGCTGGTAGGGGAACTCAGGCTCGCCCTCAAAACTGGGTTTTAGCTCAGTGACCCTGTATCAAGCAGGCAAAGTGTGTCTATACAGACGAGCATGCTGCTTCCTCCCTGGGCTTCTTCTTACCTCAGCCTGTCTGCAGGCCTTTCCCACAGACCCTTCCTGGGCCCCCTTCATACCTCTATCCTTCCCAGGCTCCACAGCGCCCTCTAGTCACCCATCTTTGTAAACTCCTAGAGGATAACATGGTGATAAGTAAATAGCCAACATGGATTTGTCAAGAACAAAATTATGCCACACCAACCTAATTTCCCTCTTTGGCTGGGTTTCTGGCCTGATAGCTGGAAAGGAAGTGGGGGAAACTAGGGGTATATTTTGTCTTCAGAAAAAGAAGACTGAGGGGGGACCTGATAACCATCTCCACATTTTTTTTTTATTATGGAGATGTCCTATCTCCTAGAACTGGAAGGGACCTTGAAAGGTCATCAAGTCCAGCCCCCTGCCTTCACTAGCAGGACCAAGTACTGATGTTTGCCCTAGACCCCTAAGTGGCCCCCTCAAGGATTGAACTCACAACTTTGGGTTTAGCAGGCCAATGCTCAAACCACTGAGTTATCCCTCCCCCACATATATTAAGGGCTGTTATAAAAAGGACATTCATCAATTGTTCTCCATGTCCACTGAAGCTAGGATAAGAAGTAATTAGCTTAATCTGCAGCGAGAGAGATTTAGGTTATTCATAGATTCCAAAGCCAGAAGGGACCATTGTAATCATCGAGTCTGACCTCCTGACCACAGAACTTTCCCCAAATAATTCCTAGGACATATCTTTCAGAGAAAAAAAACCCAATCTTTAATGTAAAAGTTGCTTTCTAACTATAAGGATTGTTAAATGCTGAAATAGTTACCAAAGGAGGCTGGGAATCCTGGTCATTGGAGGTTTTTAAAAAAGGTTAGACAACCACCTGTTAGGGATAGTCTAGGTCTATTTTCTCCTGCCTCAGAGCAGGGGGGGTCACTAGGGGACCTTTTGAGATCCCTTTGAACCCTATATTTGTAAGAGTGTATCAAACACATCTTTACAAAGAATGTAATTGGAAGTTGGAACACAAAAGCATACAGCAAATACCATCTTCTAAAATAGATCTTTATTATGGGACATAATATTAGCTAATTGGTTGCTCAGTGATTCTGGTATATATATTGGCAGCAATGAAAAAAAATGCCAGGTGTTAACAGCTCACCGGTTTAAAAAAATATATGGGAAATTATGTATTTACATTACCAAAATTAAATGCAATTATTCTTTACATACATCATCCTTACACAGGATTTATTTGGTACGCACCATGTCACCACACGTTTCTAATCTGTTTCGGTGTAATCCGCTGTGTTTTACTGAAAGGACTAAGATATGTGCATCTCCCAGGACTTATGGGTCCACCAAAGATGTTGTCATAGGCAAAAATTCATATATGCCTTTCCCTTTCATCATTACCTTAAACAATTTTCAAGTCAACCCTTCTTATTCCCTTCTCTTTGTTACCCTCGCCATATAACCAAACTCAGTTGTTTTCTTCCTTTCCAAGTTTTTAAAACAACATATTTCACTCTACCTACCAGTCTAGCAGAATTGCTGAAACTACAATGTGTCTTGGCTACTATTTCACTTGAATATTTATAACAGACACTACAGTCAACACACATAAATTGTTGCTTGTCTTGCTAACAGGATAAACACTGCAAGCCTGTAGATTAGACATTTGAAGAGGGATATGAACCCAATTTATTGGATAAATTAACTTTGTTAGAGCACTTGAGCACAGTGCCGCTAGGCAAGAGAACAGTTTCTCTCAGAGCCTGAACTTGTCCTGCTTTGCTACTGTAGCTTGGTTCTACGCTAATCATTGAAGTTTTCAGCCAGGCTTTTTAACCTGCCGTGAGGATGTGAGAAGCATCTATTAAGGTGCCAAATAAATAGAATGAAGAACTGAAGATGTGGGGTTTCGTGCATCAATGCTTCATGAGGCAACTCTGGCCCCTTTGCTCTCCAAAGCTACTACAATTCCATCATACCTTGCCTCTAAAAATTGTGTTACTCCGTACTAAAGGAGTCATTGCCCTGCAAATGAATTTACGTAGCGTTTCCAGGGATTTGAATAAAAGACCTTCCCTTTGAAAAGAATGATGACACTCAAAAAAGAAATCAAAGAAAAAACTGACTAAGCAACTCAAACCTGGGCTTGATTTCCAAAAGCAACCTCAAGATGCATGCGATGCCAAACGAGATCCATGAAGTGTTGCCCATTTGCACCAGCTGAGTACCTGTCCTGACATGTTTGAACCAAGATAGGCCCTGAATTCTGGTGGGGATCCTCTCCCTTCCAGTAATAACTGGTATTTAGGTACAGGTTACATCTCAGGATCTCAAAGTGCTTTATAAACAGAGGATAAGTGTTAGCCTGAGATGGAAAGTCTGAGGCACTGAGAGGTTACAGACCAATTTGTGATCTCATTACTCACACTGAGTAGAAACTTACGGCACAAAGAGTTCCATTAAATCTGTTGTGATTAATTCGGCATGAGAGATGGTGTCATCATCTGGAGTCAAGTGATTTCCTCATGGCAACAGAGCACATAAATGGCAAGGTGGGCCATACTTGGGGTGACCCTAAACCTGGGACACCCAGAAGCCGGGAGGGGAAGAGAGGGATGGATCACACCATAATTGCCCTGTTTTGAGCACTCCCCCTGACGCTCTGGTACCAGACACAGTTGGAGACAGAATACGGGGCTAGATGGACCGTTGGTCTGACCCATTGTGGTAGCGCCTATGTTCATAAGACTGGAATTAGAACTTCATTCGCCTGATACTCACTCAATCCACTTAGGCCATGCTGCCTCCTGGAAAAAACCAGACTTCTCCACAGTGCTGACTTTAAGCCAGTTTGCATCATCAAACAACTTGCTAGTAGTCAGGAATTGGTTCAGTAAAACAAAACTGCAAAGCTGCCCTAATTAATACTGTATAAACCAACACTGTTTGGTGGTACAGTTTAGACGGATTTACACAGAACATGCTGCTTTGAATACAGTTAAAGCGGTGGCATTTCCTGCAATGCAAAATACTCAGAATCTGATCTGCATTTGCTATTGAACCTTAAAAGGGCCAGCTCCTCACAGGGAGTAGATCAGCATCACCCCACGGGCTTGAAACAGAGCAACACCCATTTACACCAGCGGATGATTTGGCCCAACATTCACAAGACAGAGTTTCCTGTCTTCCTGATTAGCTCCATTGCACAAAATCTAATTAAATCACATCATCTAACACAAACCGAGGGTTCAAAGCCAGATTCTGTTCACTTAATTCTAAACGCCCCATTCTGATGTTAATTGTCTGAAAATGCTACTCAACAATTCTTGCCCAAGCCTTCTTTGGTTACTAAATGAAAGGGTTCATTTGTTTCCAGAATCAGTTCTCAAACAGTGAATATGGGCTGCTAGTGCTTGAAGAGCTTAGAAGATGAATGGAATCATGGCTGCTTTCCTAAGCGCACCCAGATTATATTTCTTCAGGTAAAGCCTATGTTTCTTTTGGGCCCAGAGGGACATCTGGATGGCCATCAGGAAAGCAAAAATTCCAACTGCAAAGAAGAAAATGTGTGTCAACAACATTCATATTTACCATGTTTTAAATTACATTTCTTAAGCACCTCTGTGTATCTTACATACCCCCATCGTTGTCTACAGCTGGGTGGGAAATGGTTTTCCCATCCTGGGAGAATTTTTGAGACTTTAACAATATTTTGTGTTTCAAATTAGGATGAAAAGTCGAAAATCTAAAAAAATTTCATCGAAAAAAAATTGGATTGGGTCCATTGAAACATTTGATTTTAACCTTTTTTACATTTTTTAAAATTCACTGTAAATTAACTTACATTTGAAACAGAAAATTGTTTTACACCAAAATCAGAAATTTTGTTTTGCCAATGTTGAAATGGGATGTTTTGACAATTTCAAAGCTTTATTCCCCCCCCCCAAATAAACGATTTCCAAATGGGAAACTCATCAAAACCAACCTTTTCCTGCAAAAAGTTTTGGTTTCTGAGAAGCATCATTTTCTGATGAAAAAATATTTCATGAAAAAATTCACGACCAGTGCTATTACCATAGTATCTGCGTCCCTCAGAGTCTTTTAATGTACTTATCCTCGCCATATCTCTGTAAGGTAGGGCAGGGCTATTATCCCCATTGTACAGTTGAGGAACTGATGCATCGAGAGGCTAAGTGACTTGCCCTAGGTTACACAGAAAGTCTGTGGCTGAGAGAGAGCTTGTGCCCAGGTCACTCAAGTCCTAGACTAATGCCCTAAACACTGGACAATTCTTCCTTACTATTTTGAATAGCCATGTAATTTGGATGGGAACTATTACAGGGGGAGGTTGATGTGAGCTGTTGAATTCTCTGGTTCGTTGATCGTGGATTATATTCAAATATAATTTGGGCTATTCATTCTGTTTTTCAGTTATGTCAAGGCCCTAATCCAGGAAAAATAAAAAATAAAAAATAAAAACACTGCTTATTTTTAAGCATGTGAACAGATACATGGGGTAAAATCTTGACCCTCCTGAAGTGAATGGGGATTTTGCTATTGACTTCACTGGGGCCAGGATTTCACGTGCTTGAAGCTAAGAATTCTCCCCCATCAAGGGGTGTGGCAAGTTACTACCTTTCCTGCCTGAAAGGAGGAAATGTGCCTCTCTGAGGGGTAAGCTCTTGTTTTAAGGCCCTCATCCAAAGCCCATTGAAGTGAAAGAAGACAATCACATTGACTTCAGTGGGTGCTAAATCAGGCCCTAAAGGCACAATCAGAAGGTAACATGCCAGAAAAAAAAAAAAAAAGACCATTGGCATTGATAAAGGTACCTACTACCAGGCGTATAAAGTCTGAGACCTTAAGGTATGCCTAAACTGCAGTCCAAGGGGTAACTGCAACATGGGTAGATGTACCTGCACTAGCTTTACCTATGCCAGCACATCCCAAAATAATAGTGTAGCCGTGGGGGCATGGACATCGGGCTAGTGACATTTGTGCCTAACGTTCCCGGCATGCTTGTACAGCTTGTGCTAAAGCCCAAGCATCATGTCAACACTGCTGCTTTGAGCTGCGCCAGCACCGGTCTGTGTACCCATGCTGCAATCACACCACGGACTGCAGTGGAGACATACCCTAAGTGTACATCAAACAAGGTGGAAGGTATTAGAAACATTAGCACATTGTAGTGGTGGAGAGATACCAGTGTCATGGTACGCTTACGTTGCCACAGACTACACCAATCAATTTTAATCTATATGAATAGGTAGCCACTTTGAGGAGGCTTTTGCAGGTTCATTAATCTGGCTTCCAGAAAGTGCTCCAACACAATATACTAGGCGCTAACAAGGCAAGAGAGTAGAAAGTGTTGCAAGGAAGAATACAATGAATGGAAGAAGAATTAGAACAGCACAGGGCATCAGATGTGAACTCTCCAGCATCCTTTAGCAAAACAAAAAGCATTGCTGAGAGATGTCTGGGGTACCTCAGGGCAAGCAGGGGAAGGATAATTATCCTGCAGCTCATTCTGTTACTTGTCTCCTAACTCAATAGCACCATGACCCTCGCTACACACTCACGTCTTTCCTATAGTAACTATGTATAAAGCTGTTTGGAAAATAGTTTTGTTTACATTGTGATAATTTAAAAAAAAAATCATTTTCAGTTAGTTTGTCATGAAAATTTTCATCCAGTCTTGAAATCACTTTTATTTAAGTATCTATTTTAATTGCAAAATTGTATGTGTAGCATTTCTTATTTTCTGGTAACAACAACAAAAACAAAACATGATTTTTTTGGTCAGCTTAGCCATATGGGGCTAGATTTCCAGAGGAATTTAGACACCTCAAGACACAGATAGGCCCCTAGTGGCATTTTCAAAAGATCCTATGCAGGCTTTCAATGGGAGTTAGGTGCCTAACTCACTTAAGCACTTCTGTAAATCCCAAGAGGCGCCTATCTGCATTTTTAGGTGCCCTCAGTGTCTTTGGAAATCTGTTCCCTGATGAAATTTCTTTTAAATAAAGTCCAATTAAAAAAAACCAACAGAAAACGTCATACACCTCTACCCCGATATAACGCTGTCCTCGGGAGCCAAAAAATCTTACCGCGTTATAGGTGAAACCGCCTTATATCGAACTTGCTTTGATCCACCGGAGTACGCAGCCCCGCCTCCCCGGAGCACTGCTTTACCGCGTTATATCCGAATTCGTGTTATATCGCGTTATATTGGGATAGAGGTGTACTTGAAAAAATGATGAATGGTAAATGAAAAAAATTCTATAGAATTTTTTATAAAATTTCAGATTTCTTTATTTGCAAAATATTTTAAAAGAATATTTTTTCACACAAGTCACTGATGTCCAAAAAAGGCAAGTTTTCAACCACCACCACAACTGTTTTTTGGAAAATTTTGACCAGCTCCACCAGGTACCCAGCTTCCTAAAGCTGACACTTTGAAGAGTAATGTGCTAGGGGTACAAAGAACGATTTGGTGGTGATAGTCCATCAATTATTCTTTGAGGTGGTTTTAGGTTTACAAAACTCACTTTTGCCAGTAACGCATTTACATCTCATTTGCTTCCAGTTGGCGATTGTCTTACCTGGCAGTGTTTGTGTCATCACCGTAAAACTAATCCAAGACCCAATCTATATGAAGAAAGAAGAATTGTTAATCCTGTCTATGGCAAGGTTTTAACTGTACTCTGTACACAACGGCTCCCACTGCCATCCACTGGAAGCAGAGAAGGTTGGGTGTCTTTACTGCACTGTGGATAGGAAGTAGAATGAGTTGGGTGGCTGGATAAAAGGTGAGCATCCAATGCGTCAGACGAGAGTGAGGGGATCATCTGCACGGGAGGCTGGGGGTGACTCTGAGGGCCAGTTGGAGCATTTGTTCTGGGGAGGACGACGCAGAAAAGAGCTACTAGAATGATCAGAGGAATGGAAAACCTGCCTTATGAGAGGAGACTCAAAGAGCTGGGCTTGTTTAGCCTAATCAAATGAAGGCTGAGGGGAGAGATGACTGCTCCCTATAAATACATCCGAGGGATAAATACCGGGGAGGAGTTATTTAAGTTAAGCGCCAGTGTGGACACAAGCACAAATGCATATATACAAATGGCCATCAGAGGAGGGAAGTTCTGGAACAGGTTTCCAAGGGAAGCACTGGGGGGCAAAACACCTAACTGGCTTCAAGACCGAGCTTGATAAGTTTATGGAGGAGATGGTATGATGGGACTGTCTACAATGGCATGTGGACCATCGGTGACTGCCAGTGGCAAAAATCCCCAATGGACAGTGATGGTACACTAGATGGACGCTACATGGGGGGGAGGGATAGCTCGGTGGTTTGAGCATTGGCTTGCTAAACCCAGGGTTGTGAGTTCAATCCTTGAGGGGGCCACTTAGGGATCTGGGGCAAAAATCAGTACTTGGTCCTGCTAGTGAAGGCAGGGGACTGGACTCGATGACCTTTCGAGGTCCCTTCCAGCTCTATGAGATAGGATAGGTATATCTCCATATATTACAATGTATTCTTTCCCAGGTGTCTGGCTGGTAGATCTCACCCACTTGCTCAGGGTCTAACTAATTGCCACATTTGGGGTCTGTAAGGAATTTCCCCCCCAAGTCTGATTGGCAGATACCCAAGGGGGAGGGGTCCGACTTCCTCTGCAGCATGGGTCACTGGCAGATTTAAGCTAGTGTAAATGGTGGATTCTCTGTAACTTGAAGTCTTTAAATCACGATTTGAGGACTTTAGTAACTCAGCCAGAAGCTAGGGGTCTATTACAGGAGGGGGTGGGCAAGGTTTTGTGAGGTGTCTGGAGTTGAGGAGACTGCACTAAAGAGGAGGGATGTTCACTGTGAGCACGCTTGGCGCATCCTGGGCTGTGACCTGACTGGGCTGCCCTTCCCCCACACAGAGAAGAAAACAGCATACCTCGTATGTGTAGTTGGGACAGGAAACCAGTGTGAATAGCCATGTGAAGGGGTTGTAAGTTGGACTTGGAAAAGAGGCTTTATTCCCTTTGGGAAAGAAGAAAACACAAACAAACCCACAATGTAAGTACAGCAGGGATCACCGACCTCATTGCACATACGACGGCTACCGTTTGCACTGACACGAAGGAAGGAGGCTGGGGCACCCACATCCTTGCCCAGTGGGGAAGCCCCTGCTGGCATTCTGGTGCAGTGGGCTGGGTATGGAGGCCCTGGTGCTTTCCCCAGCCCCCTGCCCTGGGTGGGCAGCAGCGGCGGGGAGGGGAGAGGAGCTGCAGACTGAATGCAGGGACTTTCCATGTGGAACAGGGGCACTGGGAGGCTGTGGTACCTCTCTCTGCACTCTCCAGGCCGTGCCCTGCTCTGGCAGTGGTACCAGGCTCAGCAAATCCCAGTGCTTCCTTCAGCTCAGTATGTTCCAGCACTTATGTCCCAGGCCCCCAGTGCTAGGCCAATTTCCTCCTGTACGGGCTGTCTTGGGCATGGTCAGGAGGGGAGGCAGAAACTGCTGGCCAAGAGTCTCCCGTTGTTGCACACCTGTTAGGACTATTGGAATCCATTCTAGGGTTCAAAAGAAGTGCTGGAAAACTGCTCAGGTGCAGCCCAGCGCTACTGGTTGGTGCTTTGAACCCAATGGGGCTCCCATGTGGGCACTAATGGCATTCAGAGGGGAAGAGTACTGGGGCGAGCTTCTCAGAGTCAATGGTAACTGGATGCCGACATCACGTAGGCCCCTTTGGAATTCCAGCCTTCTTAAAAAACAATTTTCATGTCATAGTAACAGAATTTCCCAGGAAAATAGTTAGAACTCAGAAAGAAAGTGCATTGCAGTAATAATAAAATAAAATAACAATAATACAATAAGATAATGTTCTATTCCAGAACCTGACATTTTCGTTCCATTATGCTAATGTTGCTATTACAAAATGCAACGCGTGAGACTGATTCAAATACCTTTCAGCTCTCACAATGGCCATAATGTTGTTGACACTGTAATGGTATTTAGAGATGAGGTTGTGTGTGTAAATAAATAAGTTTATTTGTTGCTTCTACTGCACATTGTGGCCCCTGTTAAGCACATGCTTAACTGCATAGAGATTGAATTAAGCATGTGAATAAGTGTTTTCTTGAAATGGGGACTATGCTAAGAAAAACAATGATTATTGTGCAATACACGTTTCTTTCTAGAAAATGTGCTGTAGCTATAATTATTTGCCCTAAATCCAAAATGCTCTGCAAAAATGAGAGGTGTGGAGCACATTTTAACAGCACATTTCCGCACACTCCAATTTTAGAGCAGAAAACTGTGCAAATTAGTTATTTTAATGTTTGTTGAATCTTCGTTAAAATTAAATCCTTCATTGTCAGTCAACAGCATGTTTTAATACATTTAAATACTCCAATCAAAACCTGAACTGTGGATATTTATAATGAAGACAAATTTGCTGCAAGCTTTAGAACAGCAATATTACAAATATCACCACATTTATTTAGCAGGTGTGATAACGACATGATATCTTGCTCACCTTTCTTTATTTTGTAGACAGACGTAGAGGTTACAGTATATCAGGAAAAGGTCCATAAATAAAGTGCAATTCAGTATGAAGTAAGTGGGGTGGGGGGAAAGTAAGGGGGAGACAAACCTGAGTGATTTTGTTGGACTAAAGCGACGTTGATAAAATGATTTCCAGCTTCACACATCTGCAAAACAAATTAAAGCATGGTCCCTGTTACACATTTCGGATGTTACCAGATAACTGCATGACTGGTTGATTCCAGCAATAGGATTAAACTCTGCATTCAAAAGAATAGCAGAGCGTTAAAAAAAATATTGAGAAACCCATTCAAAGAGAAATATGTTACATTCATTGTGAGAGCCCAGATGCCCCAGAAAACCATGCACTGGGTGAACTGTTGAGGTGAAATCCTTGCTCCACTGAACACAATGACAAAGCTCCCAGTGACTTCAGCGGGCCAGGGTTTTACCCTTGGTTCCAGAGAGAAGTGTAGGTGCAATCCTGCAAGGTAGCAGCAGACTCTTTGACCTCACAGGAGAGACAGCCTTGGGATCATCCACAATAGGCTGATGGAAGGGATTTTGCAAGACAAATTTCTGGCTCCACCATCATCTCCTGGCTGTGGACTTGTGTGACAAAGTGTGTGTGTGGGGGGTCTTGTTTTTTTCAATGGTTTGCATGCAGAAGAGGTGGGATGCAGTTTCCCTGGGGGTTACTGGTTTAACGAGGTGATGGGAGAGGGAGTTTGTTGTTACAGAGGACCAGCGACGGAACTTGGGACCCCGGCCAATGGCCTGGAGAATGGATACCCCAGCGACTGGTGACCTGGTGACTGGGAGGCCCAGCTCGGGAGTCACAGCCGGTTCCGGCCAGTGGGAGGACAAAGGGCTGTGAAGAGAGGACCCCGGTGACCTGACCAGCTGGTTCCAGCCAGAGGGGAGCAAAGGATGGTTGAGAGGAGAGGAGGCCCAGGCGACCCTGTTTACCTGGATAGAAGACAATGGACCTAGGCGGGGCTTGGGGGTGGTGATATCGGATGCCCAGCTGGAAAGCACAGGGGCTCGGGACTGGAGAGGGGGGAGCAGGCAGAGCCCACCTAGATGCAGGGGAGACTTAGATGTGCTGTGCTGAGGGAGGCCAGGCCTGAGGGCCCTGAGAGTTTCCTATGCTGTGTTCAGACGCTCAATAAACCCTCCTGTTTTACGCTGGTTGAGAGTCACTCCAGTCTAGAGAACAGGGTTGCACTATTCCCTTCGGGAGTGGAGGCCCCAGGGGTCCAGAGTGAGTGGACTCCCTGAGGGGGCCCACGGCGAGAGACAGGCGTGCTAAGGCTCAGAGAGGTGCGGTTCTTGGAGGCGGAGGGGCTTAACCCCCGGGAGACAGTGGACCCCCGAGAAGGGCTGTCACACTGAAGGGGGTTCCCCCCAGGACCATACAGGGCCAAGAGTGGGCACAACCTGTGAGTCCATGACATCTTGATCCTGCCCCATGGAAGCTGATGAGAGTTCAGCCATTGTAGTGGGAGCAGAATCAGGACCTAAGCGATGAACTCCCTGTCTCACTGTCAGACATTATGCCCATTCTTCCTCCATGTTTTCAAGACCGTCTTTGTGTTGATCAAGGATCACAAAAACCGTGTGCTGAATAAGTTACACAATGAAAAGAAACGGGCTAGATAATGTATTTGTCAACTATGACTCAGAAGGAATTGCTCCATGAAGGGCAGTGTGGTGCAGTGAATGGATCCAATGGATCAGCCTTCAGAAAACCTGGGTTTTCTATTCCCACCTCTGCCAATGACTGGCTGTATCACTTCATCTCTGCTTGCTCTCCCCCACTTTATCTTTTCTATTTAGATTGTAAACTCTTTGGGGGCAGGGACTGTTTGTACAGCACCTAGCACAATGGGGCTCCAGTCTCCATTGGGGCCTTGAACTGCTACTGCGATACAAGTAATAGTAAGCGAAATGCTGCTGTTATTGAAAACTGGTGCTGGTTTTTTTTGTTTGTTTTTTAAAGGACATTTAATTCCAGTGAAAAATTCTGAGCAGAAACAACAACAACAAAGTTCTATTTTTTTTTCTTAGCAATTTTTCTGTTTTTCACAAGAAAATATCAAAACAAAATGGATCACAATTTTCATGTCAATTTCAAATGAAATTGTTTCAGATCTGTTTTTGAAAACTGAAAAATTCTCCTCCACTTTTGAAATGTTACACCTTTACATTATTTCATATTTCTTTTAATACTCTAACTTTTACGATGGAGAAGTTTAAAAAAAGTTACAGTGGTAAAGGAAAGGAAAAGGAAGGGAAAACAAACTAACAAACTAGACATTTTTATTCTGCGATATTCAGTGGCAACAAAAGAAAAAGGAGAGAAGCAAAAAACCAAAAGTCTGAAATTTCAAAAATATTTCAATTTTCAAAAACCAAAATGAAACAAAAATTTCAATTTGAAATTAAACATGCAAGAGTTTGCTTCATTTCATTGTGAAATTTTCCATCAAAAATTTAAAAATGTAAAAAAAAGGCATTTAAATGTGAAAAAAAATCAGTTTTGAAGAAACCCCATTTTTCAGCAGAAAAGTTTTTCATTGGGGCATTTTGATCAGATCTATTTAAAAGTTTAATTTTGGCTGTGTAAGAACTTCAGGATTAGACCCAGTTCTTTTTTCTGCATATTTTACCCATGATGAATAAAAAATGGAAAACCTCTGCACCTCAAAAATGCCAATTGATAGAAGAGGAAAAATTATTCCAAAATACTATAAAAGTGGCTACAATTGGTATATTCCAGACAAAAATAATATTTAAAAAAATACATAATGTGACAGACCCAGACCAGTGGGGTACAGGAGTCTGGTAGAGGGTAAATATACTGGTCACTGGATGAGTAGTTTTCTGTTCCCTGAGTGACCAGAGCAGGGGCTGCATTAGAGTAATCAGGAACCTGCTAGAACCAGTTAAGGCAGGCAGGCTAATTAGGACACCTGGAGCCAAGTAAGAAGAAGCTTCTAGAATCAATTAAGGCAGGCTAATCAGGGCACCTGGGTTTTAAAAGGAGCTCACTTCAGTTTGTGGGGCGAGTGTGAGGAGCTGGGAGCAAGAGGTGCAAGGAGCTGAGAGTGAGAGGGTGTGCTGCTGGAGGACTGAGGAGCACAAGCGTTATCAGACACCAGGAGGAGGGTCCTGTGGTGAGAATAAGGAAGGTGTTTGGAGGAGGCCATGGGGAAGTAGCCCAGGGAGTTGTAGCTGTCATGCAGCTGTTACAGGAGGCACTATAGACAGCTGCAGTCCACAGGGTCCTGGGCTGGAACCTGGAGTAGAGGGCGGGCCCAGGTTCCCCCCAAACCTCCCAATTGACCTGGACTGTGGGTTCTTCCAGAGGGGAAGGCCTCTGGGCTGTTCCCCAACCCACATGGTGAATCTCTGAGGCAAGAAAATCCGCCAATAAGCGCAGGACCCACCAAGATAGAGGAGGAACTTTGTCACAATAAGCACCCAGCTTTTTTTTTCTTTTACAAAACAATAGACACACAAATTTTCAAAGTTAAAAGTAATTACATGAAACACTTTGCAAATGCAAATATGTTACACACACATGACTGTGCAGCACCACCCATTCATAAATTATACTTAACACCTACTAATTCTGTAATCAATTGTAAGTAAAAGCAAGTTAGGGGCATTTTTGCTGGGATGCTTAATAGCTTACCTTTGATGCTGCCGCTGCAGTCAGCTGTAATTAGCTTTTATCTCCCTCTTTAAAATTTGGCTGGTAATCCTCCAAATGGAGAAGTATAGCTAAATATAAACCAGCCCTTAAGCTAACGTCTTAAAAATTTTAAATCTGGGAATTTGCAAAACTTCTGATTTTCAATGTGTGACCATTTTCTATCTCCTGAATGAGTTGTACATACATTTTTTTTCATCTTAAATTTCAAATGCACCCTATGTGAAAATTTATCTCTTGGCTGGCTTGCTCCTATATCTTCAAATAGAAACAACGTTCAGAAAGCTGCTTAAATTACTCCGTGCTGTTGTTTACCATGAATGTAGAAGCACATACTTAATACAAATCAGAGGTATCTGATAAAGACCAGCCATGAAGGAAGAAAAACATTAGTCATATATTTTAGGACCCTTTAAAAATGACCTCAGATTTTTCAGCCATATTGCAATTTTAGGCTTCAGTGTCTGAGAACCTGCTAAGACTAGAAGCAAGCACTTGTATCTGGGGAGATGGCTCCCTTCTCAATGGTATAAATGTCCTGGATCTCAGACCTGAAACCTGGTTCTGTCGCTGGACTGACCGCTGTCTGCAATATTTTGCAGGAAAAAAAATTAAAAACCATTTCTTCATGCAATCAACTATAAAAGATGAGAAAAAGAATATTCCACTTAAGTTGGACTGCTTTTACTAAGTTGTTACTTTGGATAAGTGCTATTTTTATTGTTAACATAAACTGCATTTGTAATCCATTTCCACTGACTTTGAGCTACAGACTGCTATAGTCGTGATGGCAGTAAGATACTGTATGCATCACTGGATTAATACGCAATCCCCTGGAGACACAACACACTAAGTTAAGCACTTACTGCTTTCAGCCTCAGGGTTTCAGTGACTACATGAAGTTCTTTCTTCACATAAGTATACTGTCTGTCTTTGCTAGAAAACTGGTTGGAAATTTTTCAATGCAATTTTTATTGTTGAAAAATGCTGATTCATCGAAACCAAAGCTTTCCATGAGAAAAGTTTCCATAAAACTTTTGTCAGGAAGGTTTCTCAGGTACAGGATGGAACTTCTGCTCAAGCCTGGGGGTTAGAGCACTTACCTGGGCTAGAGAAGACCCAGTTTCAAATCCCTACTCCCCATTAGGAAGAGCAGGAGATTGAAGTTAGGACTCCTGTGTGCCCGGTGAGTGCCTTAACTTCCCGCCTGTTCTTTGTCTCTGTGTTTGTTTACGGACTTTTCTGTGGAAAAAAATGGAAAGGTCTTGATTTTATCTCCCTGAGGAACAGACAATATTCTGAAATCTCAAAGATTTTCAATGGATGGGAAAACTATTTCCTCTCCGGCTCTACTTCGCTAGCCTGGATCTGGTCAGGAAAACGTGGGCTGTAGTGGAGTCTCCAGGATCTGAACACTGCCCAAATTGTGATCTTAATGGCTCCAATTCAGGGAAGCATTTACACATCTACTTAATGTTCAGTACATGCTGAAGCACTTCCTAGATTAGGTGGCTTTCCAGGATCAGTCTAAATCAGTCACACTCCTCTTTTCCTGTTGCAGCTCTGGAATCCCGCCCACACTCACGTGGCCTGATTTTCAAAGGGGATAAGCACATTTAGCCGCCTATGATTTTGATGGTATTTGTGGATGCTCTGCACTTTTGAATAGGAGGCCAGTGGGACAGAAAATAAGCTTCCATGAGCGTTCTTCTGTTTAACTAGATCCCCAGTGCTCCTGCTGTGATAATCAAAGCATCATATTCAACTTTCTCAGAGTTCTACGCTCTCACACTAGTGCATTCATATACATCCCTGGACCACTCCATCTCACTTAGTAGACACTAATATATGGACCCACTATGCTAATACGTATGGGTCCAACTGTACAGTCAGATATACATGTACAGTTCCCATTAACTTCAATGGGAGATGTACGGCTGTATTTGAGGAAAGAATTGGGCTCTGTGTTAACTCCTGGCTCCTAGAAGCTTTTCTCCTGGAGAGACCTCAGCACTTTAATCCCGTTCTGCTCCTAAATCACTGTATTTGTGAGTGGATGAGACCCAGAGGAGAAAAATCATCAGCTCAGAAATATGTAATTCGGAACTTTAGCCCCCCATGGGGCGCAGATCTAATGCTATGCTACAAAACCAGCCCCCGTGACATGATCTCCTTCCTGTTGTGATTACAGAGCACAGGCCTTTCTTTCTGATTTGCCAAAGTAGCTGCACTGAGATATTTCTACTCTGTAAAAATAGCACCCAAGCACATAAATACTGGGAAGATGGCAGCCCCGTCAATGGAAAAACAAGGTGAAAACTAGGTGAGGAAACAAATCTTCGCCATACTTCATCCACAGATGCACGTATTTTTTAAAAATCTGTTACCAGGTGATAGCAGGCATGTTATTTAGGGAAGACAACTTTATTGAAAAGCCAGGATGGGATATATTTCCAGATGATTTTATCACAGCATTTGAGAAATTAGGGTAAGTGATAGCAATTGCCTAAATCTTCAACTTTGGACGTAATTCTGCATTATCATCATGATGTGACACTTAAGGATCTCAGACAGGGAACAGGGCCCCAACATAGCAGGCAATATACACACAAATAACATAAGGACTGTTCCTGCCCCAGAAAGCTCAATAGCGCCATTAACATTAATAAGACGAGTGACATGCTGAAGGTCCGCAAGACCAGGCATTAATCTTCACTCACACAAGGTTATTCCTCTTGACAAATAACGAGTCTGTTTTATCCCGTAAGCAGCCTTAATACTTTATTTGAGTACATACCAGAAAAGCCAGGGCAGCAAAAATAACTTGCCTGTTGCCAAATGCTAGAAAACAGAAGGAAATCATAAGTTACACTTTGGTCTCTGTGCACAGTTCACTATAGGTGAAGTTCACCCTGGTGCGGAGTGCTAGAAATGCTGATGTCCCTCAGGGACTTTGCACCCACACTGTCTGAGCATTATGCAAATAACAAATGTGTTTGGGTCAATGCTAGTCTCTTTGTCACTAATTAATAGTGATAATAGAGCATCTTTCACCCATAGATTTCACCACTCTTTACAGAGGAGGCAAGCATCATTCTCCCCATTTTACAGATGGGGGAGTGAGGCACAGAGACGTGCCTAAGGTCACCCAAAGGCTAATGGCAGTAATGGGACTAGAAGTCAGATCTTCTGTTTCCAACAGAGGTGCTTTAATCAACTAGTCCACACTGCCTCCACTATTAACGAAGCTGAGCTGTATCCTGCCCTTCCTTTTTTGTAGCACTAAGGCATCATATCTCAAGTACCAGCAACTCATCCAGATCACCTCAATAAATACACTTAGTCCCTACAATGTTCAGCTACCCAAGCCTACATTTCCCTATCCCTTTGGTATCCATGCATCACAATGGTGTTACACCATGAACATCTCAGAGGGTTGCAGTCTTCCTCCAGAGCTTCAATCATGTTTTTAGGTGCACAGAGCATGCTCACTGTCATTGATTCTGCAGCTTCTTCCCCTGTCCTGCCTCTCCTCCTTCCCAAGCCCACCTCGTCTCAACTCGGGCTGACACGCAGCTCCTCAGTTGGGCAAGGGTGACATGCCATGCCATGCTCAGCCACTAATAGCTACATGCTCAGCAATCAGATGTTCTTCAACGTTCCCGTTTCAACCTAGCTCAACTTGTTATTCCTGCATGCTATTCCCCAATCACCGATGTGTCACCAAAGACACTGTCTCTGGGTCTGAGACTCAGGGGTCTGCCCACGGATATTTCCCAAAAGGAAGGGGCTGACAGTCATATCATTCTTCGCTGAACCATCTGAGTATCGTACCATCCAGCTCACTTAGGTTTACATCATTTTCAAGAGCATTAGTTTCAGGAATAAGAGCACCCAACGTGGAGATGACCTCCACTGAGAAATGTAGAAGGAATAGACAAAATGGCTGGCCTTGGCATTAGATACTCATCCTATTGTAAGGGGGGAAAAAACATGTGTTTCAAACAAATACTTGTGTTCAGTGCCTGCTGATCAGGGCCGGCTATAATTTTTTTGCCGCCCCAGGCAAAAAAGAAGAGCGCTGCCCCGCCGAAACACCCCCCGTGCTGCCCGGCCGAAACAAAAAAAAGAAACCCTCGAGCGCCGCCCCACCGAACAACAACAAAAAAAACACCGCGAGCGCCCCCCGCCACCCCAACATTGGCCGCCCCTTCTAAGGTGCCGCCCCAAGCACTTGCTTGGTCGGCTGGTGCCTGGAGCCGGCCCTACTGCTGATTCAATGATCCAGAATCTAAGAGTTCATTTTCACACAGACGTTCAATCCACTGCTGCCATTTCCACACAAACTTAAAAGGTCATTTGAGGAAATGCCATTTTTCAAAATGAAATGTGATGATTTTTTTAAAATTGAAAATATGCCATTTTTTAACTTTTTTTGTTTTAAATATCCCACCGTGACACTCATATGAGCGACTGAAATTGGCAGAGCAAATCCTGTATTCTCCCCAAACCCACAGACAGGGCCCTGACAACACACATACAACAAAAATAAAATAAAAAGGAGTAGTACAAAGATGGAATGCCAGCAAAATGAAATAGCCGAAGGAAGGTGTGACAACCAAGCCCATGAACGGAAGAAAACTCCGATGATTACGACTGAACTCAAAAAAGAAGAAAGGGAAGTTCAATGACTGGACAAAAAAGGACACCCAGAAAGACTAGTGGTGCGACAATGGAACACAAGAAAAAGGAAAGTACAACATGATGAATGAAGACTGTACATGAAAAAGAAACGGAGAAATGAAGATTTTTTTCCCCCCAACGTTGCTGCAAATATTTAACAAAGCCTTCTTGGGTTCACAAATCTTTTAGTTTTCATAAAAAGGCAGCTTCTATACCACGCAAGAATGTTCTCATTTGAAAATACCCATCCAGCTCTTATCCCCTTGTATATTTTTAATGGAAACATATTGCAGAGGTGAGGATAATATTTATCACGCTGTTTCTTTCAATTGGTTAATATTTCATGTTCACAAAACTCGGAGATGATTAAACTGGGTTAAACGGTAACATATGTTCACAGCCATAGTACAAGAGTGATGCTTCCATTAATCTTTCTACTGACAAATAATGCAAGCCTATGCTTTGGGCAGGCAAAATCTCTGATCCTACTTCCACTGAAGAGAAGCCCCAAACTTCTACTGACTTCAGTGAGTGCAAGGTTGGGCCCAGAAAGATTTAAAAAACAATGTCATTTTCATGGTACATACATGGTGGAGTGTATCGGGGGTGATTGACATAGTAAGCAATCCAAGAAGTGAATCCCCAGTAAAAGGCACAGCCCTGGAATGGGAAAAAAAGGAGATACAGTTTAGGAGGAAAAATTACAGGTAAATTCAAATCTATAACTTCATATACATTTTCTAGCAGCAGTGCTCTGAGTCGAGATGACTACAGTGCTTTTTTAAAATGAGTCATTAATAAAAAGTAATAATATTTTTCCCTCTTCAAAATTATTGTCATTATTAAGTCCAAATTGGAAATTAGAGGCACATTTTTAACAGTGAGTTAAATGACTCTTGGCCTGCTCCTAGAGCAGCACAACTTTTGTTCTTTCCCTTACCAAGGGATCACAGTAAATCAATGATCTAGCCCTATGAAAGGAGTGTCACTTTATCAGAGTGCAATTTAGCCGGACTCCACTATGGTACAGGCATATTCCTTCTGACTCATACAGATCTAAAATCTATTTGTAAGAGATGATCGTAGATAGGTTCAATTTGTCAATCTGTAATTTGTTTTCAAATCCTATGTTCCAAACTGAGTTAGCAATGGTCATGTAGAGGTAAAACTTCAAAGGCAATAAAAAGCAAGTCACGAAGAAGTACATATGCAAATAAGTTCCCTTTTGGGGACTACACTGGGTGGAATATTATTCCTGGATAAAGTATTACCAGTTGTGACAAAACTTTGTGTGTGCTATTCGTCCAACATCAGTAACTCTTGTAGAGTCACTTATTCAGCAAATGTATGTTTTCTTTGGGTAAAATGCATTAGCATTTTAAATCTCCCAAACACATTTTTGTGGAACTGAGTTAACATTTATTAATTATTATTATTTATTTGTCTTGCCATAGTAGCATGACCATTACTGGCCCTGGACTGGGATCCCCTTGTTCTAGACGCTGTACAAACACAAAAGAAAAAGACAGTCCCGGCCTCAAAGACCTTTAATCTATAGCTGATGTTTTCTTGATGCTATCTTAGATGTATATCACTTCTTTCAACAAGAAGGACCCCAAAGCACTTTACTGGGTAATTAATTCCATTCTGGAGGTTCCCTGCAACCTGAAGTCAATGGGACTTGGTGTAGGAATGAGGAGCAATCCACATGGAGTTTGTTGCAGGACTGGGTCTTATGGATCTGATCTGGCCCTGATGGGGGCAGGTGCAGTTCCACTGAAATTAACTCAGTTGCACAGTACCTGATCCTATGTATTCAGCATCACTTCTTCCACCCATGAGACACAGCCATTTCTGCGGCTGGAGCATGGCACTTGCTTGACGGTGACTGAAGAAAACCCCATTGAACTGAAATGATGGGGGTGAAAGAGAGGGTACCGTATAATAACCCAGTTGTAATCTTGCATAGATGCCCAGGTGAATAATTCACTTCTTACCAAAACTACCACAGGATCCAATTCTCATAAGTGCCTAAATGACAGTGAAAATCAGTGTTCCTCCCAAGTTCCTAAGTCCCTTTGGAAATTACAGGTGCTTTTGAGAATGTTATCTCTTATTTTGAGGTGTTATTTTTATTAAGACTTCTGTTTTACACCTCATTTGAAAGTTAGCAGCCTCCTCAGCACATGCCCACTAAATCTTATCTCCTTTCTTGCTTGGATCAAAGGGGTCTGTCTGCAGAGCCAAACCTTTTGTTCTTGACTACAAAGCTTAAACATATCTGAAAGACATTTCGTTTAACGTTCCCTATTTCTCCTATAGCTTACTTCATAATAAAGCAACTGGAGCAAGAGGAAGGATGGACTGTTGCTTAAGGTGCCAGACAAATGCTTCGGAGACCTTGGTTCTATTCATCTATCTACCACTGCATCCCCGTGTGACTTTCGGAAAGTCACATGACGTTCTCCCTGCCTTGGTCCCCCATCTCTAAAACAAGGATAATAATCCTTCAATTGCATTGTGTCTCTAGAGTGTAACCTCTTCAAGGCAGGAAGTGTTTCTGACTATACGTTTGCACAGAAAATAGCACAGTAGAGTCTGATTTCAGTTGTGACCTCCAGTTGTTAACATAATACAGATAATAACGGCAAATCAATACCATTCAGTCAGAGAAATGTTACGCCCTCTGAAGGCGGGATCCTCACGTGATGTAAATAAAAAATCAACACAGCTCAGATGAAGTCAATGGATTTACACCATCTACAAAGCTGGCCCTGAGACTTTAAATATTGTAAAGGGAACATAATTACTGGGCCTGGAAAACAAATGAATTTTCTTTTCTTGTCATCGTTCTGGGCCCCGTTAGCATGAGGTCCTTCTCTATATTGGATACAATGATAAATATAATTATAAATAAATAATAAATATAATTGTCACCTTTATCATATTTTTCAGAGGTGTGTGCCCTCCGGAAATCTTGTGAACAAATAACGTCTCCAGAAGATGCCTGACATAGTGTAAACAATGACAGAAGCAGGCCAAGCTGGAAAAACAATGGAAAAAGGGGAATGAAGGTACATGAAAGATGGGGGGTGAGGTCGGTTTTGTCTTTTTTTAAACAAAACAACAACAAAAACCACACATGCACTTTCTGATACATCACACTTTATTTTCACATAAAGAATAAGGACTAATAGTCTAGAACTGAAGAGTCACGCTTGAAATCTCTGGGCATAGACTTTGCCTTAGCTAAAGCAACTGAATCCCGAGAAGAATGGAATCGTTCTCACAGAGTTATATAACATTGTATCCATTTTACGGCGGACGCAACATATTTTACCCACCTTGAATTAAAAAGGACACAGCATGCTCAGAATGTAATGTACAGCTATGACAGTCGATTAAAACAGTACAGCTGTGTATACAAGCAGACGCCTGCGATGCTTCAAACAGACGTCTCACACATTTTAGGGATATCTTAATGCTCTCGTAGGATGTGTCTGACATTTGAAAACATTCTGAATGGTTCGCTTGTCCTTTAGTAAGTACAGTAGCTACACAGGGGTAGTTTGTATTTCATTTCCTTGTGGAGTCCAAACGAGATTTTGTTGCAAAAGTGAATCCATTGCGATGGCTTTTTTGTTCCAAGTTACAATGGAACGAGATAATTGTTATAGAATTTATTACACTGATTCCCTTCTGAGGAGGATTATGAAACAACAACCAGCACTTCTGATTTGCTTCAGAGAACGAGCCGCAGCTCATAAAGATTGGGTTTAAAAAACAAATGTCAAGAGTGATTCATGACGGCATTTTATCTTGGTTGTATTTACCGTACTAGCTGTGCCTGTCTCATTGAAAGCCAATTATGAGACATAAATGAAAAGTGATTTTCAGTGTGTGAAGTTTCAAATACTTTGGCCACCGTACAAAATGCCCAATAAAAGTCAAAGATTAAACAATTTGAGGTTTGAGCTTAGGCAAATCAGGTAATTAATGACTGTGCAGAAGGCTGAATCACACTTTCCTTCTTGTCAGGGATTTTAAAAATATTTGGCTTCCATGAGGGACCACAACAAAACAGCTTTAAAGGGATCAGCAGAAAGACTCTCTGGGTCCCAGCCCGCAAATAAATAATGCAGATATTTTGGCCTCTCTTCTATTAAAACCCTCTATCTCCTGTTAAATGTGCAACCCATAGGGGAAGGTTGGTCTTGTGGCACTGTATTACTCAGGAATTATTCTGGGTTCTATGCACAGTTCTCCCAACTCAATCTCTCTGCGTCTTATTTCCCCATCTCCCTCCCAGTCTATGATAGTACTTCCTTTCTCCCAACCTTTCTCTGGCTTGTCTATTTAGGTTCCCCCGATCCTACAGCCGATAGCACACAAAAGGACTGCTGACGGCAAGGGAATATTTTTATTAGTAGCTCAGCAACTGTTCTTAAGCTCCTTCAGGACTGTTGGATGGATCCCATCTGGTCCAGGTTGAACTTTTAGAGTGAGATTTTCAAAAGCACCTTCAGGATTTAGGAGCATGGGCCTCCTTCAATCAGAGCCTTGCACTTAAATTTCTTAGATCCTTTTGAAAAACTCTCCATTTATTCACCACTTTGTTTTTGAATGTTCTCTTCTGATACCCCGGTCTCTGACAATGCTTCTTCTTTACTACCTGAAAAGAGCAGATCTGGGTATCCTCTTTGCTGAAGACTGATGCCATTAATCTTATAATACCCTCCTTTATGCTGTGGTCTTGATCCTGAATTCATTTGAGGGAGGTACTCTGGTCTAATGGATAGGGGGCACTGGACTGAGGTCCGGGAGTCTACTCCTCATTCTGCCACTGATATACTGTGTGACCTTCGGTGAGTCATTTCCCACCTGTGTTTCCCATCACACCTTTTGTCTGGCTTGTCTATTTAGATATAAACGATTCAGGGCAGGAACTGTCTCCCACTGTGCACACGCACCCACCCACCCACACACAATGCCTAATGCAACAGGGCTCCATTTTGGGGTGGGACCGCTTGGTACTACTGTAGTACAAATAATAATTCATAATCACAACAACCTGAAACTCTCATTGACTTCAGAGAGGAGAGGTTTGGATGTGGAAGGAATGTAGGGTCAAGCCCTCTCTGGGCTCTACCATTACAGAAACAACAGAGAGCATTAAGAACCAACAGAGTCTCATCATGGAACATTTAATGGCTTACCATCCTGGATGACTTTGGTTCATGCACTTACTGAACTACTGGGTGGCGGAAGCTCTCTGTACTCTCCTCTTCAGCATAAATACTTGAGAGACGAATGTAAAAGAGCAAGTAGATTAGTAGAGGCCCGCTGTATTCAGTCAGAAAAACCTAGAAATGAAAAAGACTTCTCAGGGTGGGGAATTGAACAACAAGGGAATAATAAGAAGAAGAACTCATAGTTCTTAGGCAGACCTAAGTATTTGATCTGCCATAGCAAAGGGGCCAGTGGTACACCCACCCCTTGAATACTGCGTGCAGATCTGGTCACCCCATCACGAAAAAGATATATTGCAATTGGAAAAGGTACACAAAAGTGCAACAACATTTATTAGGGGCATGGAACAGCTTCTGTATGAGAAGAAATGAATAAGACTGGGACTTTTCAGCTTGGAAAAGAGACAACTAGAGGGGGATATGATAGAGGCCTATAAAATCATGACTGGTGTGGAGATAGTAAATAAGGAAGTGTTATTTACTCATTCTCATAATACAAGAAGTAGGGGTCACCAAATAAAATTAATAGGCAGCAGGTTTAAAACAAACAAAAGGAAGTGTTTCTTCATACAAAGCACAGTTAACCTGTGGAACACTTTGCCAAAGGATGTTGTGAAGGCCAAGACTATAAAAGTGTTAAAAAAAGAACTAGATAAGTTCATGGAGGATAGGTCCATCAGTGACTATTAGCCAGGATGGGCAGGGAGGGTGTTCCTAGCCTCTGTTGCCAGAAGCTGGGAATATACATCCCTCAAGTCTTGGGATCAGTTCTGACCATTTTTTTCAACTGGAAAATTTTTGAAAAAAGTTTCAAAATTGTCAAAAGGTTTCATTTCCGGTTCAAAAATAACTTTTCATTTCAAAACGTGAGTTAATTATCATACAAGCAAATGGGGGGAAAACCCTCAAAAATGGTTGAAATTGAAACAAAGTGATTTGATTGACCCAACCTGAAATCTGATTTTGAATTTTTGCTTCATAAACATGTGCATGATTTTGACTTTTCATTCTAATTCGGGACAGTACAAGTTTTTGATATCTTGACAATTGTGGCAGGATGGGAAAACTCTTTCCCACCCAGCAGTAGTTATTACAACATTCTTCAACTAGCCATTTATAGCTCATTGCCATATGAAGTCTGGGGCCCATCCTGCAGTCCTTATTCAGTGAAAGCCTCCAACGGAAATCACTGAAGAGGGATAGCACTCCCAAGCCTTGGAGAGAAATGTACACAGACAGTCAATAGAGGTATATAAGGAACAGCACCTTTTCCCAAAGAAAAATAACTCCTCCTTCTCTCAGAGTATGCTGTGTCTACACTAGGGGGCTCTGCTGACATAGCTCCACAATGTTAAGAGGAAAGGACGTTCAGAAAAGTAGATACATGGTCATAGCCCTTATTCAGCTCCTGGGGGCAGTAAGATGAAGTGAGCCCCATCCTCCTTAGCCCCACTCAGACTGTGCCACGGGTGGAAGAGCGGGGGCTGCTTGCCCACGACTCTATCCCCACTGTGAGCAAGTGAACAGTGGAGTCCTGGCTCTGTCCCCTCTCTGCCTACTCACCAGCCACGTAGTTGCCTGGGCGCACGGAGGGGAAGTAAGCTACTCCACAAAGCTGGGTGAAGTCACCAAGCCGCTGTAGCGCTTCAGTGTAGACAGTCACCACAGTGATGGGAGGGGTTCTCCCATCACTAACCCACCTCCCCGAGAGGTGGGAGCTAGGTTGGCAGAAGAATCGTACTGTCTATCCTGGGGGTCAGTCAGCATAACTGGGTCTCTCAAGGGTGTGGATTTTCCACACCGCGTAGAGATGTAGCTATGCCCAGGTAAGTGTTCAGTGTAGACCAGCCCTCAGGCTATGGGTATATTACAGAGCCTATGCCTGCATAACTATGTCGGCAGAGCCCCCAGTGTAGACACGGCATCCTTGGAGAAGGAGAAGATCTGCCACATAGGAACCTCCACCTCCCCAACCGACATTAGCTATGCCGACAGAAATCACTTTCTGTCGGCATAGTTGCGTCTACACTGGGGATTTTGTCAGCATGGCTATGTCGCTGGGTTGGTTTGTTTTTTTCACACCCCTGCCTGACACATCTATGCTGGTATACATTTGAAATGTAGACCAGGCCTTACTCCTGCCCCACAGCAAGGGGAAAGCCGGGAAGTCATTGGGACGCCGAGGGCTTGTCTACACTGAAAACACTGTAGCTGTGCCACTGTAGCGCTTCAGGGGTAACACCACTTATGCCAACAGGAGGGGGTTTCCCATCGGCACAGCTTCTCCACCTCTCCGAGAGGCGGTAGCTAGGCTGCCGGGACACATCTCCCATTGACCTAGCTCTGTCTACACTGGGGCTTAGGTCAGTTTAACTGCAGCACTCAGTTAAGCAACAAAGATATACCAGCCTAATTTCCTAGCATAGACTCCATTCTCTAGTCTCTCCATTGGGCGATGCAGCTATGCATCACCCTTTTCTCAGGGCGGATTGTAAAGTTACAGTCCAGCTCATGGAAAACAGCTTTCCTTTGATATTGACACAAAGCTTTAGAGAATCCCTGCGGGGGAAATATAATGTAACCAGAACAACATGGAGCATGGATCTGATTGTCTAGCCTCTCTGGAATGAAATCCAGGGTTAAAACTATGTAGGACTAGATACTTACAAGAGATTGTACTGAGCAAATTGTAACTCAAGTGCATAACACTGTGGAAAGGAGTTTAAGGGATATATATTCATAACAAATCAACTATTTAGCTTAAAGGTGACTGTTTGAAGTGCTTTAGAACTCTAAATGTTAAATGCTTGTGGTTTAAATCAATTTAATTTTGAATAGCTTTCTCCAAATAGTGCTTTGGCAATCCATCGATGGACCCCCTCCCCCATGCACTGTTTTTGAAATCTATCTTTAGCAGCGCTTATAAATGACTGCAACAGAGAGACTTTCCTTGAGAGCTAGTCTTTAAATTGAGATGGTTTTTATTTTGGGACATTAAAACTCTTCCCTTTTCCTCTGTTAGCTACTATGGGACAAATTCTCTGATGGTGTCAATCCACTAACATTCCAACTGAGCATCCTATTCCATGTGGTGGCTTTGAAAATCTCCGCTGATAAATGTAAGGCTCAGTTTTTGGAAGGTTTTGCTCCATTGAATTAGGCTTGTGCGCAATTTCCCTCTCTCCAAATAAGTGTTTCCCTAACTCCGGCTGTCAGTAGACGGGGGGGGGGGGAGGAGAGAAGGAAAAATACTGTGTCTGTGTAAAGGAGGGCACAGCTGGGGGAACTGTGTCTCTGTAAAGGAGGGCACAGCATCGGGGGGAGGGAGGTTTGGTTTGGTTTGGTTTGAGCATTGGCCTGCTAAACCCAGGGTTGTGAGTTCAGCCCTTGAGGGGGCCATTTAGGGATCTAGGGCAGAAAAAAAAAAAAGTTGGGGATTGGTCCTGCTTTGAGCAGGGGGTTGGACTAGATACCTCCTGAGGTCCCTTCCAACCCTGATTCCAACTTCACAGCTATGCAGAGAGGCCAGTGTGAGGGCTATTCACCTCTTACATGCCACTTCCTCCCCAAGTGAACTGAATTTGTGGAGTGTGTATGGAGTGCGAGGGGTCAAAGTGTCCTTAAAAAACCAGGCTCACCAAGTGATATTACAGTGACGCCTAACAGTCCGGGGGTCCCATTGTGCTAAGTGCAGGACAAACACATAGCAGGAGACAGTGCTTGCCAGGAAAAGCGTATACACTAAATAGACAAAGGGTGGGAGAGGGGGAAGGCAGAGAGAGATGAATAGCTTGCTTGAGATCACCCCGCATGAATCCCAGCCCATTGCCTTACTGAGCAGATCTCACTGCCTCTCTGCACTAGTATCCAAGGTGTGCACCAAAAAAATAGGCCGGTAATTGCCTGCACTAGGCAGCGAGCTCAGAGCAGCTGTTCTGTGGGGAGTAGCCAGGGACAGAGAAGCAGTATTTGGCAGCAGTTTGTGGCAACTTGGCACTGCAGCAGAAACATGCTCTCTCCTGACCCTTTGGTCAATTTCAGACTCAGACAGGAGGAGGACAAGCAGGCGAGCCCTGTGGATGGAGCACAGCCTGACTTTGCCCAAGCAGCAGTAATATACAAGCTGTGGGCTAGCTGATTCCATATGCCTGAGGAACAAGCCACTCAGAGATACAGTTGAGCTGCACATGCTGTACTCTATCACCACAAGGAGCCACCTCGCACACCAGCAGCAAGTCATGATAGGTCTGTGACACTGACTAAGCTCCACCTGTCCAAGGTGGTCTATAGGGACAGGGAAGGGTTACATGTAATCCATCATCTCCAATGCAAAACATCTCATTGCAGACTTTAGTGGCACATGATCCAGGAGCCTGTCATCAGGAGGTCTGGGGTGGCAGGGAGATATTATGTCTGGATCGCTGCATGGGGCAGCACATAGGAGTGCTGGGAATCAGGTGCAGAATTATTATTTAGTGCTGATAAAAATACCTTTTTTTCCAGAAAATATTCAGGTTTTCTTTTTCATTTTTGGTTGAAATTTCCTTCAAAAAGTGAGTTTTTCAATGACAAATTTAAACCAAAAACCATAACATTTTGGTTTCTGAAAACCACTTTGGACACAAAAAAAAAAATAATAAAAATCAGTTTTCAAAAACTGAAAATCTTTGCCCAAGAAAATGTTTGGTGTACAATTAGTCTTTGAAAACGTGGAAAACAATCGTCATTGAAAATGATTTTCTTCTGCAAAAGTTTGCCTTAAAAAAAATTGGGGAAATCCCTTTTCAACTAAAAATGTTGACTCGCTCTATAGTTAGTATTACAGTAGGGAGAGTGCTCGGCAACAAACATTCCTGTGTTGGACATGGAATCTGCCGGGGACACTTATAGTGACACCCGTACAACAGTGTGTGTTGCTCTGTAGGAGTGTGGACTGCTCTCAGAAGGGACATACCCTCTTTGTCCGTCCCCACTATGAGTTTCTCATCTCATATCCCATGCAGTGGATAGCTGCCTTCCCTTTTTGTTCCCTTCCAGTATCCCGCAAATCTGTCACTGTACCCCCCCGACTGTCCCTTTTTCTTGGGGGCATTGAAGAAGTCTATTTTTTTTTT